GTTACTGGGAAAATTCAAAACTGTCTAAAGTGGGCACATCTCTGAGATATGCTACACTGAAAGACCTTTGTGAAAAATCAATTCCGCCCTTACCTGAAATAACTTTAAAAATGAAATTTTTCGGGAAGGGATAGAGTTGGGTTCAAGTGGAGGATTATCTCAACTAGTCTATGGAACAGATGCTGTTCCTAAATTGTGTCTATACAAATTATCTTTAAAATATTGCAAGGAAGATAATAAATCTGCAGAGGCTTTCTTAAATTATATCGCAAATAACATATCTGAAAATGATTGTTTGTCAGTTGAGAGGGAAACAAGGGAGCAGAGAAAATCACCCAGAATGGTTCAAAGTTAGAGTTGGGCGTATTACAGCATCCAAAATATATGATGTTTTCAGATGTAACACCCTCGAGGAAGCATTGATCTCAGATATTTTGGGGGGTTGTAGGCCAATCAAGACGTCAGCTTTGGAACGAGGGAAAATTCTGGAAGGCAAAAATTTTGTAGGGCCTATGAAATAACTATTGAAAAGTGTGGTTTTTTTATAAGTAAAGAGTGTCCAATATTTGGCGCATCACCTGATGGAATCACTAAAACACATGTATTCGAAATAAAATGTCCAATGAAACAAAAAACTGAAAAATTATGTAGACGAGCAAGGTAATATCAATAAAAAACCTTAAAGTCAAATGCAACTTCAAATGCATTTGACTGCAAAAAAGTTAGGGTATTTTTGTGTAGCAGCCCCTGACTTTGAAACTTCCAAGGCTTTTCAAATGTTTGAAGTGGAGTATAATCAAGAATACATAATGCAGGTGATGAAAGAATCTGAAGATTTCTGGAAGGGGGGCCATTTATTGTAATTTATTAAAAGACGGTGAGTGTGTAATTCACTAAATTATTCGCTTCAGGTTTGTACAGGGTGTTTCAAATTCGAGCCACATCATTGGGATCTCGGAAACGGTGAGAGATACAGGATTAGTTAAAGGAGCAAAGTTGCGAAATTTGATGTTTAACAAAATGCTGCCTTGATATTCAGGATATTCCGAATACTTCCGGAGATATCCGGAAAAATCCGAAATTTTGCAAAATTGTTTTTATTTTTTCCTGGTTTTATTTGGAGTGATATTTCAAAAAAAATATCACTTTATCATAGCCACTTTTTTCCCCTACAAGATGCTACCATCAAATTTAAAACCTGAGGTTTCGTCTTTAGGCCAGAATCATCAACTTTATTTCTTTTAAATATGGACGGACCCTTATTTTATTTTTCAGATTTTTAAAGCTTCTGATGTCTCAAAACCTATGACGTATCGACTTTATTCAAAAAAATACAATTTCCTACTAAAATTCTCTTCCCTGTTTCTCTGTTCATAGATATCTATGTATCTTTGTCTCAAACGATTTACTTTTTGTGTACATATCGTAAATAGTGTTATCTATAGCACTACTATCGAGCTTTGAAACATCACAGACTCTCTTCGAAGTGAATCGCTTCTTAGAAGGCGATTCCAAAACTTCATTATTTTTGACTGCCTTTGGAATAGCACAGACTGTGGACACAATTAAATTCAAAGCCTCTGCTACGCGCTAAAAATGAGAAAAAATAAAGTTCAAATTGAAAATTCTTATTTGGTCATAAATAAAGGGCCATTATTATCGCGTTCTCGCTCGAAATATGGTAACAAGGATGCGATTAGTTCTTTGTAATGAGTTGTTATTAAATATCTATTAAACCAAGCTTTGAAACAATGTTTATAATTTAAGTAATAAATGTTTGCATTATATTATAATATAATCCATTATTGTTTCTGAAAATATTTTGACCAAAGGAAAATATGCAAGAGACGGCAACGCTGTGCCGGCCGAGTTCGACAACCCGACCATAAGTTTATTTGGTATGAACTATATGTAGTCATTTAAGTATACATAATTATTATTGACACACACATGTCGTCGCAGCATGTAAAATTCCCTTAGTCGTCTTATGGCCCTTTCGATATGTATACGTAAGGCTGCTATTCTCCGGGATTCCCTAACTTCTTCTTTTGGGAGTTTCACAGAAGCCATGACAGAGGGTGGTCTCACTATGTTACACTTTTTTGTAGAGAGTAAAGAAGCAATATTTTTAAATCCTCTACCATAATTTCGCAATTCTCTGGTAGAACATCCAAATACCCATACGTTTCTGTTATAATTTTATCAGATGCGCGTCCTCCATACCCTTGAGAAATAAAAGTAATGAAACCGTGAGGTGCTTCTGATATGAGGTACATCACAGTGTTACATTTTTTGTAATCAGACCTTGTCAATGCTTGATTGACCGGATCGGAGGGAATTTCGGTTTCCATCTCCAGGCAGTCTATGATAAACTGCAGTCTTCTATAACTTTATCTGAACGGTATGGGCAACATCGCTTTGATGTAAGCGGTATCTTGCCAATAAACGAGCTGCTTAAATAAAGCTGCCAATAAAGGAATAGGTACATTTGTTATATACCTTCCCAATGTATGACTCTGACAGCCCAAAATTTTCAGCCAACCTACTGTTGACATCATTTAGCCGGATTTTTTTCAAACAAATCAATATATTTTGGAACTGCACCTTACCAAATAAAGTAGGTATCTTTTGGTATGCCTAAATAAAACCGGCTTCTCGTTCCTATGACTCCGTTATGTTTTCTATAATAATTTTCGTTGAACCACTACTCATGTAGGACGATGCAACAGGTGAATAGAAGGAGCAAAATTTGTAGGATTGTTTTGGAAAACATGAACATCTGTGAATGTACCACGAGTCTTAACATCAATTCATATATCAGGCGTATACGTTTGATTTAATTCTTACTCGTTTTAAACGAAGTTATTAATTTTTTCTGAAATTTCTTTTAATACAAATATTTTTTATTCACTTCATAGATTGAGAATAGGGCATCGAATTTATTGAAATTATACCTTGTCCACTACCCTATTGTCAACAAAAGGGTCACTTTGAAAAAAAATGTCCTGTTTTAAAAAAGAAATTCCTGGATTGTCGAAAAATGCACAGCAAAAGTAGCAGAAATACAAGTAATGCTTTTAGTGCTGTTTTCTTCAGTGGAGAATTCAACAAATCTGACTGGTATAAGGATTTAAGAGCAAGTTCATATCTGACAGCTAGTGATTGTTGGATTAAAAATAAGTTTACTTCGAGTTTCCAACGAATTATGGTCACAAATAAAATTACAGTGCAAGTAAAAAGCTGCGGGGATGTTGAAATTAAAACCAAAATCAAAAATTAATATTATTTGATTCCTGTAAATAACGTTCAATATGCGCCAACAAATAATTTATCACCTGTAAGTAAGTTAAATGAGAATGGAAACAAAGTGTGTTTTACATTAAATGGTTGTAAAATCTTCAATAAACAAGGCAATCAGTCGTCGAGGCTGATTTGATACAAGGTGATTCTTTTGATGGCAAGTTTGCAGGTTTGACTGTAACAACCAGAAATATCTGGCACAGACGTTGTGGACATTTAAACAATTCTTATCTGAGTCAAATGAAAAACAATTATTTGGTGCATGGAATTGACTATTCAGATAAATTTAAAACAGTATCCTGCCGTATATATACATACAGAGTGACAATTTGAAAAGTAGCAATCGGGAATATCTCTTAGACAAAAAATACTATCAGGAAGATCTCAAATATGTATCAAGGGATTGGAGGGGGAACCAAAATGAAGAACTTTTTGTCACTCCGCCTCACCCCTTAGGGGGTAGCTACCCTAACTTATTTTTTTTTAAATACGAACCTACCTTGTATGGCACATCGTTTGATAGCTCGTTGCTATCCCTTTACAGTCATATAGCAAAATCTTAAATCGGACGCTTAGTTTTTGATATATCGGTATTTAAAAATAAGCAGATTTCGAAAACTAGTAATTTTGACTATCTCTTAGACAAAAGAATTATGTCATAAAAGTGTCAAATAAATATCGGGGCAACCGAATGTATTTATTGCCTCACCCCCACTCCCTTATCTTGGGTACTAGCCGCTCCTCATAATTTTCCTATAATGAGAACCTACCCCGTGTGATAGCTCCTTTAAAAGGTTATTTATTCGTCTTTAGAGACGTGCGGAAGTAGATAGAATTACGATAAACACATTATTTGGTTTCGTCGATGTGTATTCGAAACTTTATTGATAGAATTTTTTTGTCTATGAGATAGTCAAAATTGCTAATCTCCAAAATATGCTCACTTACAAACACCGATATCTCAAAAACTAATCGTCCGATTTGAGATTTTGCTATATGACTGTAAAGGGATAGTAACGAGCTATCAAACGGTGTGCAACAAAAGGTAGGTTCGTATTTGAAAAAAAAAAAGTTGGGGTAGCTACCCCCTAAGAGGTGCGGCGGGGTGACTCAAAAAGTGCCTCATTTTGGTTCCCTCTCTAATCCCCCGATACGTATTTGAGATGATAGTATTTTTTGTCTAAGAGATATTCCTGATTGCTTGAAGATTCTGAAAAGTCATTAGTTAATAATGTCAATCTTACGGAAAAAATGAGATTCTTCACAGAAAATTTGAAAAAGTGGGCGCAGTCACAAGTTACCAAAAAAATTTGGGGCGTTTCTAACTTTGAACGAAAATTCAATAATATCAAATATGAAACTGTTCAGACCAAAGATAATATGGTGGATTTAGTATGTAATATAACGTGTTTCTGACAGAAGAAAATAATTAAAAAAAAAAAAATTGGCGAGACCAAAGAAAGACAAAGATGGCAAAGGACAAATTTACCTAGAAAAATCTCGATAGGTTTGCTCAAACTATTTCACTCATTTCTCAAAAACACATGCGCCAGAGGTAGGATTGAAAGAGGGAGTAGCCAGAGTTGGTTAGCCATTAATAACAAACTTTTTCACAAGCATTAAAAACCTTCTTCACAAGCATTACAAACCCAACATGGAAAATCAAATAAAAAAATATATATTATTTTAAAATCTATTAGATTGATTAACGTTTGTGATAAACCCTCGGATAACCCCAAGAAACACCTGGATATTTGTGAAATATCTGGAACTTCCACAGAAACTGAATCAGAAACAGATAATTGTAATCCACGAAATATATCTGATGGAATTTATTTCAATACAACTAACACTTACAGATCATCAATAGAAAACAAGTCTTATTCAAGTCCGTATCTCGGTCCGAATCAAACATCCAAAGGTAAAACTTCCAAAAATCATTATGTACAGAAAAAACTTGAGGACTCTAATCAATATATAAATGCGAGTCAAAATGCAAATATAAGCAGCGTTGGTCCGCTAAATAAACATGCAGAACATGATTTGACAATTATTGGTACCGATTGAAACAAACATAGAAACAAGTAAACAGCAACATAATTTTCTTGACGGACAAAGGTTATTGGCAACAAATTCAAAATGGTCAACGCTACCATACAGTCGGATTGAACGCCAAAGGCGAAAAAGAGAAGCTTTAAATTCAAATCAGACACTTATATTGAATTTTGTACAGATAATAGATAAGATTTCTAACTCTGTTAAAAATATGACAAAGATTTTGAAACTGGGATGAAAAAATATTTGTGGACAAAAATTGCTAAAGAAATGTCACAAAATTTCCACCAAAAATTTACAGCTCAGCAGTATGACACAAAATTCAAAGTTTAAAAAAATATGTACAAGTAAGGTAAGAAAATAACAACCAATTTGGAAATAGTAAAAAAAATGGAAATATTATGACTTAATGCAGGATATTATGTTTTTGAAACCCGAAATTTCTGCTCCAGTATAGGCGAATTGACTGTGAATGGTACCCCTTGTAATGTTGCAGGATTATCAGATTAGTCATGAAAAATAGACATTTTTCATGATCATCAAGTTGCTTCACGGCCGTATTCATTGAAAAATCACAAACTGCCCAGTTAACTAATTGGTTGTTAAGTTTTAACAAAGAGTTAGTAGTGATTGATATTCATCAAGGTTTTTAACCAAGCAGTTAACAAACCGTCTATTTAATGAAAAGTAACAAAATTAAGGTGGGCAATACCAATTTTTGCCTAGCTTCAGCAGATGATTTTTAGAACAACATAACCTAACTTGTTACGGCTGAAATTTCAAAGTATTCGAAGGCACTTTGCTTAGGTAAATCTTACTTGGCTATTTATATTTGATTTTGAATTTTTCTTGGGGTTAAGTTCATTTCCTCAGCTTGACAGTCAATCCGAGTATTTTTCCTTTTTCATTGGCCCTTACAATGTACACCAGTGCCGGTTTGCGTAATAATCTTTGTATTGTTTTGAATATTGATTAAATAGATTTCGTTTGTTGTTTACATATTTTGACGATCAGCTGTTCCGGGTCGATCGAGACGAGAGCGAAAGTGAATTTTTTTGTAAGAGTCGCCGAGTCCTTCCTGGTGTTGTCCTTATTAAATTGACGGCGTTCTTTTTCTATCTCGTTTAGTTAGACGTGGTGCGTATTTGGGTATGATTTTGCTTCGTATCTTGTCTTACTTATTGAGAGCGTATTTGGCTGTCTTGGTCGATTTGTTGTTTCATGTCACACATTATTTATTGTAAACCAAATCTCAATACCGAAATAGGTAACGCAAGTTTTCTATAGCTGTCATTTTCTGTCCTATTGATTTGTTTGAAATGGGTTGTTTTCGGAGAGTTTATTCGCTTTGGAACTGGTTTTTTTTTTTTTTTTTTGGGTTCTTGTTGGAAGGAAAGAAAGAAGGTTCTTCCTCTTTGGTACCGAATTTTCAACGAGTGAACTAGCTGCTGTTCATTAATTCAAGAATTTGGAATTCTTATCCTAAAATGGAGATTTAATAATGTTCGGTTAGCAAACAGATCCCAGGGAATATTTGGAAGTTATTTTTGGTTTGGTTCCTGAGGATTATTGGCCGTTTTTGGCGATTTAGCTGGATGCTGGTTCCCACGCCATTTTACATCGGCAGCCATTATAATTTCGGTACCAATTTGCATAAATTTTGAGACCCTCTGTTTTGAGGTAAGTTTTGGTGTTCGACTAATTAGATTCCTTGTGTTTAGGGATTTTCTTTACAAGGCCGATTATTTTAGGGTACTCCCATGGGGATTGAACGTTTTATGTTGCCTTTTTTTTGAGACGTTGGACTTTGGATCTTGAAAGTGTTTTGGCCATCTATAGTATCCATTTTGGTGGTTGAGTTTCATTTGGAGCGACTGGCTGACGGCCCTTGAACTCTTGGCCATTGGAGCTGTTGGTTCGAAACCTAAAACCAAGGGTTTAAGCTTTGTACCCTGGACCGAAGCGTGACCATTCAAGCTAAGTAGTCAGAAATATTAAAATTTGCGTTGTTTTATTTTCTTTATTTATAACCGAGTGTGATGTTTTATCAAGCCTACCATTTTACCATATTTATATCGTGATTATTAGTTATTGAAATTTATTTAGAGGTAACCTCACTTGTTAAGTGAAACGCGAGCCGGCTACGTAGTCACTATTGGGTTAAATAACTAGCCTCGATTGAAGTATATACATTTGTACTTTATTTACATATCCAATGGCTAATCATCAGTTGATACAATATTTACTTAACTCCTAATTTAAAGCTTATAGTGAATCAAATTTATTTCGTGTAGCCCTAGTGGTTTACAAACATCGGTATTTATACCAATATTGGTTAGTTTCGACAAAGTTTAATGTTTCATTTGGTTACCGTCTGACGGTCAAGGCTACAAGCTTTTAATTTCTGGATAGGGTAATTTCAGCGTTTTAATTGGATTTTTGTTCAATCTGTGGGCATAGAACCGTTGACATAAGTGATTGTACAACCTGTTCTGTGTTCACCGTAGGGTAATTTCAGCGTATTTTTTTTTTTTAGTAAGACCTTTATTATTTTCTTACTCCTTTTATATTTATTTATTATTGGTGGTATCTGCAGGAGCTTGCGTTTGGGTTAGTCTTCATATACTAACTACAATAAATGTATTGGCCTCACATAGACCTTTTCTTTTATTTGGCTCGAACTTTTGAGGTTTATTTTCAGGTGGATTTATTTTCCAAGTTTCTGTGGTTAGGTACTTTTAGTCATTTGTTGATTAAACTTGGTGGCGCTCTGGGTATTTTCTTAGGTAAAGGCAGGCAATAGAGAAGAGACCTGCGAACCCACTCGATTGAGCTAGCGGGGTGGTAAGTTTGGTGTTTTGGTTTTTAGGATATCTTGGCAATTTTGAAAAGTATAATTCGATACGTTTTCCTCGAAAGGAAAATACGTAACAAACTTTCATTTCACTTTCTTTATTTAGTTTGTTTTTGTTAATAATATTGCGGCATTGTGGCACCCACAATATTATAAAATTAAAATTAGGTATATTAGTTTTGTGCAATAAAATAGTGAATGAAAGCTATGACGGAAGAGAAGAAACGATCTTCAAATTTTACACAGCGCGAAAAAGATATATTGATATCGCTGGTACAAAAATATATTAATGTATTAGAATGTAAAAAAACTAATGCAATATATAATAAACAAAAACATGAATGCTGGGAGAAACTGGCATGGGAGTATAATGCCCTACAAACAAGTGGACAACGAACAGGATCTCAATTACGTATACTGTACGAGCAGATGAAAAAGTTAGCAAAACAGCATAAAGCTGACAGTAAGGTAAGGTAAAATTAGGTCCATTTCTAGTTAGTATTTCTTTGGGTCGGTTTCTCTATAGCAAGTCACCCCTGGGTTAAGCATAACTCCAGGGTAAACATAGCAACTGGACACGCTCACCCTGGAGTTAAAACCAAGCCGGAGGTGCCTCGCTATTGAGAATAAAGCGGCCCTTTATGATTTCAGAAAAATATTGTGTCATTTCTATTCTTACTGTTAGTACTCGTGTTAGTATAATGTAACTATAAATCTATTTTTGGTTCAAATATTAATCAGTGTAGGTAGTTTTTTTATTCAAGTATTTCCTTGTTAGAGGTAGAAATTCTAAAAACTGGTGGAGGGGACAATACAAAGTACAATATGCTTTCTCCACAGGATGTGAAGATTTTAAGTCTTCTACAAGAAAAATATTTCTGTGTGGATTCCAACGTTGTTATGGAAAATAACTTAGAAACTGAAAACACATTTTTTACAACACCTTCAACATCTAGGAATTTCCAATCTTGTGATGAATCCCTAAAGAGACCATTGTCCCTAAAAGTAAATGTAGGTCAATTGACGGATAATGATGGTGATGATCGCTTTACATGTGATGAAACTTCAGATGAAACTATAGAAATTGTTTTTGAGGAAGAACAATCACAGAGCTTGTTACAGTTCAGCTAGTAAAGAAATTTAAAGAAAATCAGAAACCAGAAAATGTGAAAACTGTTTTTGAGGAAGAACAATCACAGAGCTTATTACAGTTTCAGCCAGTGAAGAAATTTAAAGAAAATCAGGAACCAGAAAATGTGAAAACTGATAATGTCAATAAAAAAAATAATAAGAACGTGAAAAGTACTAATAAAAAACCTAATTGTTATGGATAAACCATCTCGAAGCCTTCAGGTGTTTCGGCCAAAAAATTTGAATTATATGAAAATAAAATAAAAGTTTTGCATTTAGTGCAAAAAAATTAAGAAGAAACGTTTAAAGGTATAAAAATGGATAATGAAAAAAACAAATAATTAAGGAAAAAGAGCTCTTGGATCTTGAAATCAAAAAAATACAATATGACAGACTTTTAAGAGAACAATAATTCGAACTAACAGTTTATTTCATTATCTGAGTGCCAAGTCGAAGGCCCGAGTACTTAGTTCTTGTTACGGATTGTACTAATTTATTTGCAATATGTATAGGATATTATGTTTTAAGTTTTTGAATTCCACTTATATTAGAGCATTGAGAAAGCTGAGGTATTATTTTCTTTAATTATAAAAATAACACACGTTCCTCAAAAACAAAAATTGTTGTTTTTTCGGCCAATTTTGTGGATCACCGTGTGTTTTTTTTTCCTGTTCGGGTATTTTAGGTCAAACATTAACATGCTACATATTTAGGGTTAATTCAGTTTTTTCGTTTTTTGGATTATACATAGCTTTTTTATGTTCCTATTTATTTATGTAGTTATCCTCATTTAATTTAATATTAGATATAAATAAAAATATGTTTATTGTCCAAATTGCCTTTTATTTTTTGCTGCAGTTAATACAGTAAAATATTTAAGCTAATAACAAATTTCTTCAATTTTCGGAAATATTTCAAAAAATGCTCGAAGCAATCTAATTGATTCATATACTTATTATTACAGAAAACATTATTCTATTTGAAACTAAGAATTATAAAATTATAGAACCTTTCTAATTTTACCTATTCAGTGAATGAGAAAAAAATTACTTTTGTTCTTTCATATTTGCCAGTTTTTAATTTTTCCAATAACAAAATATTCATTAGTGCTGACAGCCGAGGGGCGGCTCACTTCCGGAATCGCTGTACATTTTCATCCGAAATCCCGTGAAATCCTTTGGAAATCCCGAATTTTCGAAATCGCGAAATCCTATCCTGTCCTATAGATATATCGAATCCCTCGAAATCTTAGTGGTATATGGCGTCGAAAGTCAAAATTCTTGCACAGCCGAAATCTTTTGAAATCCCTTAAAAATTGTCGAAATCCCCTGCGATTTCCGAAATCGATGTACAGATTGTGGTGAGTGAGCCGCCCCTCGCTGACAGCCTATAGGTATCTCATCATTTGAGCAAATCAATTGAAAACAGTTTGTATCAAAGTATCCCTTGTTGCAAAGTTTTGGCCACCACCATTATAATGAACAACTCCAATTATATCATCTAGATAAGGGATATCATCAATTTGCTCTAAGTTATCACCTTCTTGAATACAAATGTTGTGTAACACTGGAGTGGCTACTATTATATTACAGACAGTTTGAAGTTTTAATCGCATTCCCAATGACAAACAGGGAAATCGTCGCTTCCAAACACCAAATAGACGTTCTACAATATTTCTGGTGGATATTTGAGCCCTATTGTAGCGTTGTTCTGCCGGATTATGAGGATTTATTAATGGTTAAATTAAGAAAAAAAAATTAAATTGTTAAACACGTTAATCGCCCAAATGGAACCTAAAAAAAAGTTTTGGCAGGCCCAGATAAAATTATTTCTTCAATTGATGAATAATACACAATAATCGCATATATTTGTATTTTTTTCCATATGTTACCTAAAAACAACCGAAAATATTACTTTGAAAATGAAACCCGGCTTTTGGGTTTCGGGGCCCCTTCTAGGTGTGAGCCCCGAAACCCAACTAGCGGTGTTCAAAGATACAAGCCTAAGCTTGTTTACTACGTGCATGAATATTGAATAGTAGAAAATGTGTGTCCTGCTACGAAAAATTAAGTGCTGAACAAGGCAGAAAAGTAGCTCAAAGCAAAGGACCAGAGTCAAGATTTTCTTACATACAGTGTGAATTTTTCTATTGTCTGTCCTGTTTTTTGACTGTGACAAATATATAGAGTAAGCATTTATTTTATACGTTATTTTGGTTTATCATAGATAAATAATTTTGTTCTGGTAATCCATGCCTTCACCTACAATCAATAAAATGTGGTTCTACAGGAAAATATGACAAAAAATCCTAGGCTCAAACGTTAGTAGGGTCCTCCAGGCCCCTCTGAGAGAAACTCCATATATTGCAATGTTATTTGAAGCCCAAGAGCCGGATCACAGGCTGTAAAGTGTACGCGCATGGTGACACCCTACGTACAGGTCTCAGAGCCTGGTTGACCACAAGCTCTGAAACCCAAATGTAGAGTGTCATGGCGATTAACGTGTTAATAAGTAAGTTTTGCATGCATATCCACTATCCCCAAGTAAACAATATGGGAAAAATTCTTGATTTTCAAACCTTGCTCGAATGATCGAGTCATTAAATATTGTTGAGTCATGCACACTACCAGGCCATCTAGCCACAATGTCATTTATCATAAGATCACTATTGTCTACTACTTGCGTGTTTATACTAAACCATTGTTTGCGGTTTCTGAACACTTCAGCATTTTCTCCTCCTGGGGATTTGATCTTGATGTGTGTACAATCTAAAGCTCCTACAAAAAGGACATAAATGGTAATATCCAAGATAATAAAAAAAAAGAGATACCTACCTATTATTCCAGGAAGACCACGAATATTAAAAAACTTCATAACTGCTTGCCTCTTCTCTTCCTCTGTTCGTGGCATTCTGATGAATCGAGCTCTCAAAGCAGCAATGTGATTTGTAATATTTTGTACAATTCTCGACACACTGGGTTGTGAAACATTGAAATGATCCCCAATATTAATTTGAAATGATCCAGTTGCATAGTATCTGAGGCAAATTAATATTTGATTTCGTTTAGAAATGGGATAATTCTCAATGTATGGTTCTGGAACATCTTTTAATAAATTCTCTATAAATAAAAACGTATCTTTGTTGATACGGAATCTTCGCTTGAATTCAATTTCGTCCAGTTCATTGAATAGATCATTTCGTGGTCTCACTATTTTTGGCCTTTTTCCATTTGGAACTTCATCATCAGGCGAGGAATCAGAAGACGACGAGGTATCTTGGACACGGTGAAACCTATCCATCTTTCTCTTTCAAAAAATAATCACCAACAACTTCAATTTTAAATGTTGTAATTTGAATAGAAAATAGAATACGTTTGTTTAGAAAAATCGTAAATAAACAGAAAAAACTAACCTCACAAATATCGTAAATTTCCGTTGACTGTCAGTTAAAGCGGCTTTTAACTGGGCGATCTCCGGCGGTTAACTTTAACAAAATGTTAAGTCCTAACAGAGTGTCATGAATACCAAATATGCATGTTAACCAGCTGTTAGATATTTAACAAACCATTAACCAGTTAATTAATGTTCATGAATACGGCTGTCAGTGTTCTGCACATTTACAATTTCCCATGTATGGCTTTGTTTAATTTGTAGACAAGGAAAATACTACAGTAACTGATGGGAGTGATGATCCCAATGCTGATGATTCAGGTTCATCATCTCAATTTGTCTCTGCATTTACTTCAAAAAGGAAATGTTCTGAAAATAAGGCAGATAAGCGTCACAAAGATAAAATGCAAAGGCAAGATAGATATTATCCGTTCACAATCCGATTGTAACGTTTTCAATTTCTTGGCTAATACGCTACCTTGTTTTGCTCTAGTCGATATGGTTCCGTATAGAACTATAAAGGAATAAATGAAGGAACAACTATTTTTTCTGTGCCCAGATTTTGTTACCTTGAGTACTGCCTTCTACTAGAAGTTTTTTTTTGGTTCAGGTTTGCAAGTTTGGTTAATTGATCTAGGAAGGTTTGATTCAGTACGGCAGGGCCCGCTGTTATTGATTAGAATCTTATATAAAGGAGAGATTTTTTCATCATCTCTGTTTGCAAATCCAATTAATAAATAATCTAAGGTTATAATAAATTGTTGTTCACTTCTTTTGATTTTTCATTTCTATCATGTCATTGAACAGCTGTTTTGTCTAGGCGTTTTCTTTAGACCTGATCTACTTTTTGATATATGTTCTATAGGCATTTTTCAACATTCACCAGTCATTTTTTTCACAACCCACTTCCAGTTCGTATTCTTGGGGTGAAACTGAACACGCTTTTTTCTATAATTTTCTTCAATGTCAAAATTAGAAGTTTGACAAATGAAGCCTTCTTCCGAAATCTAGATGAAGAATCAGCCCTATTGATCTTGAGACTTGATACCGAAAGGTTGGTCTCGGCCCTAATTGATTTTGGGCGAGACTTTTTGGAATTTTGTGCCAGGGAACTCAAGGTTTAGACTAATTTCTTGTTGATAATTGTCTAGAGTCGTCGCTTGGTCATTTTGGATTTTGTTTCGGTAAGTTTTGAGATTTTCTTCAGGAAATATTAACCTACAACACGTGTTCCTTTTTTTTCAATAGGACTTTTCCGAGCAGCTTTTGGAAGTGTAAGACTTCACCTTTGGTCTAGAGTATCCCTCAATTTGAGGTGAGATTATTTCTAATATTTGGGGCTCGATTTGTTTTTTTATACAAACATCGTTATAGGGTCCTAGTGCCAGGTTATACTTAGAAGACTCTAGGCTATATCTAGACAGCTCCTAGGCTGTAATTAAAGAGATTCTAGACTAGATCTAGATTGCTCTTAGTTGGGCTTTGGTAGCGTCCCTTCAGCAACCCTCTTGGTACCGCTCTACTAGAACCACATTGAGTTCTACGTTAAACAGATACCACGTGGATAGGACTCATGACTCACTTAACATACCATTGTCTATCTACAGTG